GACAGGGTTTCTCTGTATTGTTTTGGAGGCTATCGGTCCAGCCCGGCCTCGAACTCACAGAGATCCGCCTGCCTCTGCCTCCTGAGTGCTGGGATTAAAGGCGTGCGCCACCACCGCCCGGCCCTTTCTTAGACAATTTATCATCTGTATTGAATAGGGTTACTAATTTTTTGGGTTAGTCAAGTATCCTGCCACTTTGCTGAGAAAATTTGGGAGTGTGGTGGGGAGAACAAGACTGAATCCCGGGAGGAACAGAGGATAGCAGGAATAGAGATACCTTAATATAGGGAACCAATTTAGATTTAAAGAGAAATCTGGCACTGAGGATATGTTCAGAGATCCACAAAGATGACACCAAGTAGAATCCAGGCAGTAATAGAGAGGCCACCTTTGATGTCCTTCCCCTATAATAAGGTTGAATACTACCTTAATTGTCATTCTAGAGCCTTCATCCAGTAGTTGATGGAAGCAGAAGCAGGCACTACAACTAAGCACCACAACTAAGCACTGAGCCATACTTATGGGATCCAGTTGTAGAACTGGAGAAGAAACATACAGAAACAGTTGACCTGACCTAGTGAGAGCACATGGACCTCATTCATAAAACTGGGAAACCAGCATTGGGCCGTAACAAGCCCTCTGAATGTGGGTGCCAGTTAGAAGACCTGGTTGTCTATGGGAACTCTAACAGTGGAACCAATATTTATCCCTGGGCACAAATGGACTTTGGGAGCCCATCCCCTATGAAGGGATACTATCTAAGCCCAGATACACAGAGGAGGTCCTAGGCTATCCTCCAAATGATGTGACAGACTTGGATGATCCACCCATGGAAGGCCTCACTATCCTTAGGAATTGGGTGAGGGTTGGGTTGGGGTGTCAGATGGGGGCATGGGAGGTTGGGAGAGAAAGGGAATGGGGCATTGATATGTAAAATAAGAATGTTTCTAAATAAAAATTATTTAAAATATTGCTTTTCTGTAGCACTCAGAGCTAAGGCACCAGGATGACAAGTTATAGACCATCTTAAGTTATTTGGTGGAACCCTAGCTTCAAAACAGAAAAAGAAAAATATGAAAAGTATGTAAGGAGATACATACTTTTGCTTTATACTGCATTAAAGCTAATGGATACATCTTCCCAAATCCCTTGTTAGAGAAAACACAAAGCAAACATAGTAACCTTCCATGTCCTGTTTTGTTTGTATTGTACTGTTTCTGTATTTCACTTTTTAATTTTAATACAAGTACTGTGTTCATCAAGCATTTTATTTATTTTGGAAGTTTTCTGAAAATTCTGTCAATAAAAATAGTTTCTAATCCATGGTGAATGTTTAAAACTTTCTTTTTGCTATTTCTATTGCTTCACCATCTAATTAAGAAAAAGACTTTGTATTTAAATCTGATTGAGTTCACTGCATCTGTTCAATTCCAGTCAGAGTTGAATCCTGCTGCCAAAGGCTGTATTGGAATTATAAGAAAATATTATCAAATAGATGTAGGACAGGCGTCAAAATACAAATTCTTGGTTTACAAACTTTGCCAAGAATCTGTCTCTAAGACAAGATTACAGAAACATTAGTTGAATTTAGCTCAAATACAACAAACTTACTGTCTAATTTTATAATGGAAAATAAATCTTGAGGTTTATGAAGAAAATAACTCAATGATATTACAATGTTGATTTGTTTTTAATAGAGAGATGACTGAGATTCTTAAATATCAAAAATGATCACAGATCGCTTAGTGATAAGCACTTAGTCAGTGCTTAATATACAAATATTTGATGCATCTCGGACTGAAGTAGATTAAACTAGCATAGTAGTGCCTTTTAGACCATGTCTTTCCTTGAGAATCCAATGAAAATTTAAATCTATAAGAATAACCATGCAAGGCCGGGTGGTGGTGGCACACGCCTTTAATCCCAGCACTCAGGAGGCAGAGGCAGGCGGATCTCTGTGAGTTCGAGGCTGGACTGGACTGATAGCCTCCAAAACAACACAGAGAAACCCTGTCTCGTAAAAAACAACAACAACAAAAAAAAGAATAACCATGCAACCACAGATGGACATTAAGTTTGGTATATATTTGCCAGGGAATTCTGTGATATGTGTTGTGAGACTCCATATTGAAAACTTTCAAACTATTGCCATAAAGAAGAAGTATTACAAATATTGTTTGGAGAGCTTTAGAAACATAAAGGAAGAAGACATATATTTCACTAAGATGTTATGATGACATTTCACTCTTTGAATGAATACAATGGAAAACTTTCAGAGTGTATATCTCTCTAAACATTATTGGAGTCTATCTCTGGAAGATTACAACCCCTCTTTATCATGAAGATTTAAATTTTTTTCACAGTAGTTGACACAGTGAAAAGATAGCTTTCATATTTTGTTGCAGTCAATTTCCACCAGAATTTAAACACATGAAATCCAATGTATATGTTGACATCTATGACTCTTAGTTCCAGAGTGTGTATTATTAGGTTATAAATAAATAATTCAATTACTAATTTTACTGCATGTCAACTACTCATTCATTTCTGTACTTTATGAATTTATTATGTATTTTTGGAAAGTCTTGACATAGTACAGTATTTATCCATCTGAATTATAATACAATGATATATTGTGGCAACATCTTAAACATTTTAAAAATAGGTGTCAGCCCTTCTTGGTAGGGATTGATTTTAATGATTTATTCTTTTAATTTCATTTTACATGTCAACAAAAGTTCTTCCTCCCAACCCTAATTCAATCCCCTACCCTCCCCTGCAGCCCACCCCAGACTACTCCTCCTCATGGGTGAGGGCTCCCATGAGGAGTCAACAAAGTCTAGCACAATAGGTTGGGGCTGGGCCAAGACCCTCTCCCATTCATTAAGGCTGAGTATGGCATCCCACCATAGAGAATGGGCAGAGAATGATATTTAATATTTAACTGTATGTGTATGCTTAGTTTAACAGCAAACTTTTCCTAGTACTGAGATACCCATGAGAACCTCTCCATGTGAAATGAGGTGATTCATGTCTTTAATTGCGAACAGTGTTATAAGTTGGTTATACCTATCACTGTTGACATGCATTCTTGATGAACACGTTTATGTCATTTTCAGACAATGCTCAATAGCAATGAATATTTGTGAAACTTACCTAGAATTGATAAAAATATCTCCAAAGAGAACGAGTTTTGTATATCCTAGTTGACCATTTTGGAGGCAAGGCTGAATCTGAGTTGGATGAAAATGTCTCTAAGTTTGATGCCATGGATCAAATCAATCTATGTAGCATAAACTAAGCATTGGTTATAGATGAAATCAACTAGGTATGTTAAGTTTGAAAGAGAAATATTCATTTGGATAAATTGCATAACCAATAATATTCTATTCATTATTTAAGAGACTTTCATAAATCAAATCTACAATTCCTTAGGAATGTAATGGGAAGCTTGTTTTCTTCTATAAACTGATTTTTAAAATTCATGTGTATGTCTGGGTGTTCATAAGTGAATGTGAGTGAAAATGCCAAAGATGATAGATTCCCTAGAGATTGAGTCATATGAGGTTGGGAGTCACCATATTTTAGTGCTAGGTATTCTGCAAGAGAAGTAAGTGCTCTTAACTGTTGAGTTGTTGAGCCATCTTTCCAACTTCTACATATTTATATTTGCTTTTATTCTACCTTTTAGTATATTTTCTATAAAAACATTAGAAGTCAGATTTTAAGCCGGGCGGTGGTGGCGCACGCCTTTAATCCCAGCACTCGGGAGGCAGAGGCAGGCGGATCTCTGTGAGTTCGAGGCCGGGCTCGACCGATAGCCTCGGAAACAATACAGAGAAACCCTGTCTCATAAAAAAACAAAAAAAAAACAAAAACAAACAAAAAAAGAAGTTAGATTTTATTTAATCCCAAATATTCACTGTAGACCATGTTAATGAATTATTTTTAACATTTATGTCACATTAAGTTAATTTTAGAAAAGGAAAACATTTCAGGGTCTTGATCCAGTAAAGATACAGTTTACTGAACTGAAGGATGTCCCGTGAGTCTGGGTGTTTTAGAAGTTACCATTTCTAACTGTAAGAGGTCATAGATTGAGGTTTCATAGCATCTTTGTTTAATCCATGTTCCAAACTTTTAGTAAAAGGTAGACTGCCTTACTATATAGCCTTTCTATATGGTTTATATGTGAAATGATGTATAAATTGACTTTAACATTGAGTGTTCCTTGATAATGTCACAGAAACTTAATTTGTATGTGTGAAAAAGAATATGTGGTGATGCAGTTTTTGATTGTGCTCTTTTATAGCAAAATGCAGTTTTGATTGTACTCTTTAAACTACCCAATTTCTGTAAGGTTTAGCTATATATTCCATAATTTCTCTAATCTGAAGGTATACTTTTTATTTCCCCCCAAATATATTCTTATATATCATTTCCAAAACAACAAGTTGGTGATTATAGAGCTAAGAGTTAGTGCTACTTTTCTTTTAGGAGATTCAAACTTCAGAATTAGTCCATGTACACCACATCTTGCTAGGAGAAAATTCTTTTTGTTGTGATGGTAAGTAATTCACAATTTTATGTGGTTATATTTCAGGAATAATCACTCTGATTGTAAAAGTTGTACTCAGAATTTCGCAGTGACTTTAAAACCTGATGACATGGTTGTGCTTGCTTGTTAATTATATGTGACATCAATACGAAATAATTATTTTCTTAGTTTTTATCACCAAGAGTTCTTTAAATTATAAAGAATTGAACGCAGTGGAGATAACAATCAGGGCTACTGAGTTTGTGACAAAACAAGGCTAATCACTCATGTTTTCTACATACACTGCATCTGCTTCTTCTTTCTCTTATTTCTACACATTGTTAATGCACTGGGCATTACCATTGTGTGAACTTGTAAAAATAAATTTAGATACAGGTAATTAACTTTGTGATTCAAGGTCCACAAATAGAAATAACACATCAACACAACCTGACCACGGACATATTATTTGAATTACACAGATTACTTTAATGATCTGATTAATTTAGAAAATACCAGTTACATAGTTCACTTCAGATGAGGATTTTCTGAGCTTAGATTCTATGAATAACTTTAAAATATGCATTATTCTACTCATAAAATTACTTTATTTGCTGGAGATTAAAAAGGAAACAGTGATTAAGTTCTTATTTATTTCAGGCACAAAACTGAACATAATTTATTAAGGAAATGCTCCTCAACTGTAAATGTTTAATGCAAGTCATATTTTAAGATCATGTTACCCCACTTCTGGTGACAACAAAATCTTATCTTGTTCTAACAGCACATACACTATATATTTGATAGGTGATGAAATCATACATAGAAAACAACAAGGCTCTGTACAAGATGCACACACCTCACAAATAAGTCATGGTCATCCATATTTTAAATGTATGTGATACCACATAACATAACATGAGTGGTTCCTATTAGAGTCTGTCTACTTAAAACTTGATTCATTTCTAAAGCTGACATGATTTTTACCTTATACAGATTGCTATATAAAGTATGAACTGCTTACTTTTGTGATATGTGTAGTTTGACAAATGAATCTCCTAAATTTTCTGACTCTCCTTTGTATACAGGAACTTATGTAAATGTTTGAGAACAGAAGACACCATTATTTAAAAACGCAGGGTGACTGTCAGATCATGCGTATGTTTTGTTGACAAAAAATAGCTGCTACATATTTAACCTTGAGTTTCAAGATTAATTAATTACATTGTCCAATTTTGACGTAATGATATATGAGAACTCTTCACTTGCAGAATTTGAAATGAATTACTATAAGCATCACTATCTGTCTACAGAGTGCTTTGTCTTCTTTATCTTATGCTTATTTTAAAATGTGGTGTGGTATTATATGTATGACACAAAAAGTTAAACTTTATGCTATATGCTATATTTTAGATTATATTTTTAAAATTTTAAAATATACCCTTATTAGTTTCAATAAAGCTGCCTTAGGGGATTTCTTTTTAAAATATAGAAGTTACATTTAGCTCATTGGTTTTATCTTCTGTAGAATTAGTAATATGAATGCTAACAAATTTTTGCTTTTCAGTTTTTTTTTAATTTTGAATGTACTGTGAGACAAGGTTTCATTTTTCTGAATTGATTACTTATACATTTGATACCAAAGGTGACTCCCTGATTCTTTTCATCATTTTCTTTTGTGCAAGCTTACCAATAACACTCTAGGGTTCATAATTTTAATATAGAAAAAAATTACATAAATTTTCTTTCCTTAATAAACTTCATGTGCTTCATATTTTTTATAAGAAATGACATCATTGAAGGTTGTATGTAAAATATGTTAAAATACTAATATGTATGCATATATATAATAACACTAGCAATGATAAATGAATAGGATCAAATGCAGTCTATAACACAGACACATATTTTACAAACAATTTTGTGGGCTACTTCCAGGAAACTGGGTATCACTACATTGAACTGGTGCATTCAATTGGTGAATTTCAAATTCAGAGTCAATGGGAGAATGAACTTGGGACAAAACAGAGATTCTGGATACCTGACTTGATTTTATTTCTTTAAGTTATAGTGCTTATGTGAAAGGGTAAGCCAAAAAGATCTTTCTTGGCCACACTTGAAAACTCACTTGAGTAATTGCTGAGATTAAATTTTAGTGCATTTTATAAAAAATATTACTTTCACAGAAGTGAAGAAATACAATTGTAAGATGGTGGTTACAATGATAGAAATACATATTGCCAAGAAAATGTCAGCAAGACATTTAGAAATGACTGCACAGCACCGCGTCAGAGAATGTGGTTACAGAAATATGACTGATAGTATTTTTCACATAAATAAAATCTTCAAATCTTTTTATAGAAATAAATTTGGGGAAGTGCTTTTCTTTTACCTTAAGTCCTATGAAAATATTTCTGGATGTAGAGCAAGAGACAGTAAAAAATATTGACAGTGCAGAAAAGAAGACATTCATGCATTTAAGCCACAATTAGTCTGATTCTAATACAAGGTAGATCATTAATCTTTTGCAAAACTATGACTCTAGCCACTTAAACTCTTTTTAGTGCTTTGCATGACAAGGGCATGATAGGCCCTATAAATTTAGGTGTTAAGATGTATTTCCAAAATATTAGCTTAGACAAATACTTTTTGAAACTCCAAATATACAATAAAATGCTTTGCTTTGGAGAAACGATGACATGTCAGCCAAGGAGTAAAATTGAACACATATAGGGTTCTATAGAGTTTATCATAAATGACAGTGTAGATAGATTTAAAAATGACGTTTGCCTATGTGTCATCTTCAGTCTTAATTATGTGGAATAAGGTGACATTAAACAGGACCTGGTGACCATTGTTCCAGGCATAAAGAGCTCTATCTCTTGCATTGTAGTCAAGCATGGATATGTGGAAGTATTGATTATGGAAGGGGATGTCCGTGTACTCATATGTGGAAGTTTTTGTGGAATAGGAATAATACACTTTGGCTCCAGTGAGGTGGGAGTTGGTGACATACAGAGTCCCACAAATCATGAAGGATTCCCCTGCACTTCTCTTAGGGTAGCCGGTACTCCAGCTCTTCATCACCTCTAAGGTATCTTGATTAAGCTGGCTGATGACAATATTGCCTGCATTTTGGTTAGTTGCATACACAGCCCACAGGCCAATTTCATCAGCCATTAGGTCGATGTCAGAGAATCCACCCCATGTGTAGGGGTATACGTTGTGAAAGCCAGCATACTCCAGGCTTCTTTGGGCTAGAACTCTCCCTAAATCAAAGCTGTACTTGATGATGATATTACTCTGATACTTGTTAAAATAGAGTGAGCCATTGTAGACAACATGGTTAGTTCCTGCCCACTTGAAAGGGAGGTTGTATGTCCTTGATTCAGCTCCACTGACAAAGTCTGCAATGGACTTGTATTCACGTACTATTTTATTGTTAGTGTAACTGTCCATATACCAGACCTGAAAACAAGGGAGAAAAGCAAATGAAGAAATTAAATTCTGGACTTTTATAAAATTCTCAAATAAATACAGTCAAAGTTACAGACCTAGTTTCAAGGTTTGGATGTCAAATATTCTTTCTTACCCGTTTAAATGTGATAGAATTGCCAGTCCTTTTAAAGACTGGCATGTATGGAGGGCCAGCAAAATGGCTCAGTAGGTAAAGATGCTATCAAGCTATCAAGTTGAGTTCAATCCTCCCAACAGGAATGTTAGAAATCAAGAATCATAGTGGTCCTCTGCCCTCTATACACACATGTAAACATGCAAACACACACAGATACATTAATTTTTTAGAAAAGAGTATTTGTATGGAAAAGAAACAGCTGAATTTACTCCCTTAAAAATTAATTTGCTTTTTCTTTATATTATCTCTGGCAAGTTGGTGCCTATTACTGACTAAACCCATTAAATGTTATTCCAAAGCAAATCTCATGGTATAACAACGTGACCAATGTCAACTATAAGGCTTTATGTTTATTGTGCCCCTTGCCCTAAAAATATGTCTATTTTGTTTTACATGCCAGACCTTTGGTTACTTTGTGGCTACCACAGAACCTTATGGTAACTGCTATTCATTGGATTATCTTGCAAATTTTAGTGAAATCATTGCATTAATTTAATAACATACATCATTTGGATAAAACTATTAAGAAACTTAATTTATAATGAATTCATAAATATGTAGAATTACTGTATTTATTTGCATAATACAGATTTTGCCAACTATGCAAACACTCTCAATAGCTTCAGGTGAATGCCTTTTACAATTATCTCTAGCAATACACTGATTTACATAGTTAATTGGTTCACTACTCAGCGCTTAGGTGATTTTTAATATAAAGACCCTATTTCTTATAGAATATTCAAGAAAATTCATATGCAAGTGATTCATATATTTCAAGCATAAGCCAAGACTAAATTCAATGACAATTAGACTAGATTACTCTGATGAATTGTAAGAGGATCTTATTACTAAAATAGGTTTGCTACACACATTAGATATATTAGTAAGAACCCATATTATGAAGAAAAGGAATGGCCTGGGAGAAAATAGTGTAAGAGAAACCTAATTGTAAGCAAAAGCATTTGAAGAAGCAACATACTCTGTTATGTTTTTCAGATGCTAAGGGATCCGTCATCCATGCACCAAATCGAGTTCCAGATGTCTTGACTGTGATGGGGCCTGTGATCTTCATCAATTTGCCACATGCTGAAATTATAGTAACATAAACATGTTTGTTGAATACAGCCAAGGAGTCTAACACACAAACTCAGAAGAAAGAAAAGGGAGGGTGATCCATGAAATGAATGTCACATGTTCTGAACAGAAGATCATCATGGTGATTATAATGTATTTAACCCTCAAAGGAGACATGGCTTGTTATTTAAATACTCTAAATGTAAAGTGAATTACTCTAGGAAAAATGGTTCATATGACCTAAAAAGAAATAAAGGAGAAAAGTCATTATTGTTATATCGATTAATCCCTGCTGATTGTGAGTAAAAGTTTTGGAAACATTGGCTTCTTTCTTTTCTTTTTTTTCATTTCAAAACTTTATTTTCATTGAAAGACACTCATTCTTAATTGGAAATAGATTCTTCATTCATACAATACATCCTGACCAGTGTCCCCACATTCCTCTCTTCCATTTTCCATCTTCTCCAGTTCCAGCCCCTCTCCATTGTCCTTCAGAAAGCATCAGGCCTCCAAGCCAAATAGAACAAAACAAGATACAGTATAACAAGGTGAAAGTCCCCCTCTCTTGTGTCTTATGGTCATTGAAAGTATATAAGCTAGACAGAACTCTGATGTTTATTTTTCCATTGAACTATATCCTTATATAACACAACAGTGAAAATTCAGTAACAGACTCCCTGAAAAGTATAGAGTTTTGAGGGGCCCAATATACAGATAAAAGAGCTTGATAGCACAGCCATGAACACAGAAAGAACAAAACCTTCAAATTTCAGGTTTTCAGACTTGAAAAGAACTTGTAATAAAAGTTTCAGGAACCCAATATATAAAGAACAACATAAATTTCATGAAAAATATTTTTGTGTATATATATATATATGTAGTCATTTTGGGTTATGAATAGGTCTTATGAATGCTGAAGTTTCATAAATGCCAGAACCAAAACCAAAGGACAAATATTTTTTGTGGATTTTAATTAGCAGAATTTAGCAGTAATTTATCTTACACATTATCAAAAACAATTTGACTATAACTATTTTCCTCTGGTCCAAAAAAAGAAATAAACTTAATGTCTATTTATTATTTTTTTCTTTCTATTTTTTGGGGATCTCATTTCATATTTTTCTGACTTCCTATGGCTAATGTAAAAATTGATAAAAGTCTAGTTCATTGCTACTGGTGCCAATGTCTTTGGATGAAAACACAAAATGCTCCAGGCAAATCATGGGCAAAAGCAACCTACCTTGCAGCATATTTTGATTCATATTTCTTACTACATGTTTCTCATAAGAATAATTTGTAATTGGCAGGATACCAAGGTGCCTAGTTAGGAAGATGAAGTATGGGGACATGTTTGGCTTTGTTATTGCAATAGTAACTACACATTCTATAATCGCTAACATTTTTGGATACCTGAATTTGAATCATGTTCCACTTTCTTTGAAATTACATGTGATCCCACCTTTGTTTAGTTTATCATTTTACATACTCCCAAACCAAGTTTATCAAGACTGGGCTAGTGATTCATGAGATTGCATCCTCTCTCTCTCTCTTTCTCTCTCTCTCTCTACCTACCTACCTACCTATCGTCTCTTTCTCTCTCCCATATATATATATATGCATGTGTGTGTGTGTGTGTGTGTATACATATATATTGGAGAGGGTTATATGTTTTATTTCAGTCTATGTACACTGGAAATATATACATACATATTGCTTATATTGATTGGGTTAAGCCTAATTGGAATGAGAGAGTTCAAATTGTTATCAACACACAAAAACATATGAGCTAAGTATTATCCATCTGAAGTAGAGAAATACAAATATATATTGAATGGACATAGTTCATTAAATGATATGAATATATGGTATGTGATAGTGATGTTTAAAAATGCCACACATAAACATTTGTAAGTGAACAGATGAAAAGACCATGAAATTTTCCATTGTCTGAAGATTGAAATAAAAAGGTGTATCCCTCTCCAATTATACATAGTACAATACTTGTGGCTATTTTATTTTCCCTGAAAGATGAAAAATAATTCTGGCTTGAAATGATGGATTAATATATGCCTGTATCTCCTATATTTTTTTATTTCAATGTAATTACAGTGGAGTACGGCAATAAAAACATGTTTTAAAATTCCAAAGACAAAGGAAAGAATAAAAAGAGCTACTTGTAGAGAACTTTGAACACGTTCTTCAAAGGAACAGATGATGGAGATTGTTCATGGGAGATTAGAACGAGATATGTTAGCGCATGCACGTGTGTGTGTAAACATAATTTTTCCATTATGTTAAATTTGAAGATTTTAATACCAGTTAAACTAATTGTTTTTAAATGACTTTGATCTTTAGACAGACTTCTATTTTTCAAAAAAGATATATCTACTTTATGTGTTTGGCTGTTTGCATGTATGTATGCACCACATGTGAAGTATCCACAGAAGCCAGAACAGGACATTGAATCCCAAGGAACTAGAGTTACAGATGGTTGTGATCCAGAATTAAGTGTTGAGAACTGAATCTGTTTCCTCTGTAACAGTAATAAGTATTTTTAACTGCTGAGGCATCTCTCCAGCATAAGACTGAGACATTCAAAGAAAATTTGGATAGATGAAGACAATGACTTAAGTTTTAACTTCTTGAGACTGTGTCTTGCTAGCTTTGTAGCTCAGTCTGTCCTGGAATTGACTATGCAGAACAGGATGGCTTGAATACAAAGAAATCCCCAAGTCTCTTTTCCCCCAAATGTATACAATATTCCATCTGGCTTACTGTTATATATTTAAAACAGATTTTATTAAATGGCACAGATATTATGGTACTGGATTTATAGAGGAAGAAATTATGATAGAGGACAAAATTATGACTAAGTCCATCACTTAGCTTTCAAGAAAAAATATAACATGATAATAATATTACAAATATTTACATTTAAACTAAAATTAATCAGCTCACAATCAAATTACCTAATAATTAAATGGACACTCAGCTCTGTGATGAAGAGACACAGTTTATCTAGAGATAGCAGAAAAATATACAGTTTATAGTGTCAAGAAATACAATTGTAATAATAGATGGAGTATGGAAGAGTTACTGTCTCCATCTTTAAAACAAGTAGAATTATAAAGCATTTCCCCAATAAAGATTTTAAAAATCTTTGTCTTGAAGTCACATGCATTTTGATTTTGGTAAATATTCATGAGTTTTAATAAAACATATTAGATAGAGGCATATAAAAAAGAAACACAAGCAGGAGATGGTATCTAGATTTTCTGCTAACAGAGTATGAAGTCATTAAACAATGCCTATGATTAACTTTTAAAAGTAGAAACTAAATATTTAAATTCCTAATTTCACCAATAATATGCCCTATATTTAAAATGTTAAATGGGTTAAACTCCGGGGAAAGGAACTAAAAAGAGAATGTTGCTTTCCATTTCAAGCCCTTTAAAAATGTTAAGGACACACAGAGCTTCCCATCCTGGCAGGAGCCATGCAACCCAGATCCCAGATCTTCTCTTCTACCAACTAGACCAGGGAACCAGCTGGTCCAAGTAAACAAGGCCCCACATCCAGGCCTGCCTTCCAGTGCCTGGGGACTGCCTACTGACTGACACAGTACCTCCCAGTCTAGCAGGAGCCAAGTACACCAGATCCCAGGTCTTCTCTTCCACCAACAGGACCAGGGGACCAGTGGGACCAGCAGGACCAGTGGGACCAGTGCCTGGGGACTGCCACAGAGCCTCCAATCCTGGCATGAGCCATGCACCTCAGATCTCAGGTCTTTTCTTCCACCAAAGGGACCAGGGGACCAGTTGGGACACTAAGCACCCCAGATTCCTGGGCTATTTCTCCATGCACAGGACCAGGGCTAGGACCAGGAAGAGAAGAACTATCAGAGTATTGGACTTGCTTGCACCCACTGAAATGGAACTCTGGTCACCTAATCACCAGACCAGTAAAGGTATCTTTCTGCACCCACCAGAAGAAGATATGGGAAAGAGACAACACAAAAACACACTCAGCAACAGAAAAACAAATATGACACCTCCAGATTCTAGAGACTGGAAATAGAAAAGCTGGGCAAATGGTCAGGTACTACTGATACAAGCATTACCAACAGAATACAAGAGATGGAAGAGAGAATCTCAGGTGTTGAAGATACACTAGGAGAAATGGATTCATCAACCAAAGAAAATCTTAAGTCCAACACATCCCTAACACAAAACATCCAGGAAATATGGGACACCTTGAAAAAACCAAACCTAAGAATAATAAGTATAGAAGAAGGTGAAGAAAACCACCTCAAAGGGTCAGAAAACATATTCAACAAAATCATAGAAGAAAACTTTCCCAACCTAAAAAAAGACATGCCAAAGAAGGTACAAGAAGCTTACAGAACACCAAATAGAGTGGACCACAAAAAAGTCCCATTGCCACATAATAATCAAGACCCCAAATATACAGAATAAAGAAAGAATATTAAGAGCAGCTAAGGAAAAAAGGCCAAGTAATATATAAAGGCAAACCTATCAGAATTACACCTGACTTGTCCATGGAAACTCTGAAAGCCAGAAGGTCCTGGATAGATATTCTACCAACACTAAGAGACTATGGAGGCCAGCACAGACTACTATACCTGCCAAAGCTCTCAATCACTATAGATGGAGAAAACAAGATATTCCATGACAAAACTAGATTCAACCAATACGTATCCACTAACACAGCCCTACTGAAAGTTCTGGAAGGAAAACTCCAACCTAAGGAAGTTAACTACAACCAGAAAAATATAGGCATTAGATAATCCCACTTTACTGACAGCCAAAAGAACAAAGAACCACCACCACCAATTCCAAATCAAAGAGGAATGAGCAATAAATGGTCATTAATATCCCTCCATATTAATGGCCTTAACTCACCCATAAAAAGACACAGGCTAACAGAATGGATTCGAAGACAGAACCCATCCTTCTGCTGCGTACAAGAAACACATCTCAGCCTTAAAGACA